AAGAGTGATGTGCTGACTCCCTTCCCTTCCTGATCAATCATACTTGCGCTCCGGATCGGCTTAATGGGCGCCTCCTTTCTGGAGCTGAGACTAAAGATCGGGTCACTAGCGGAGGAGGTGGCCGCCCACGTCTGCGGAGCACAGGGATGAGCGCGGTCTTTACACGTGCACGTCAAGCTGTTTTCTGATCTGGTTTCTTCCCTCCCCCGACCTTTCCGTCCTGCAGCTTCCTGGACCTGGAGAGAGTTAGATCTCCTGGAACCCCCTCAAAGAGGCAGGAACGCACGGAGGCCTCGTGAAGACCTCGGCCAATGGTGACCAGAACCGAATTGTTCCCATTTAGCCCTGGCGCCAAAGCCCTACCTAGTGAGCTGTGCACGGACCATCATGCCTGGTCCGACTCTACCCCTTTGCCTGCCCTCCAGCTGACAAGGTGTTCTTGCCTTTCAAAGGCCTCATCCAGAAGCTTGCTGGACCCATGGCCCTTCCAAGAGAACAGCCACTCCTGGCACTGTGCCCTGTAGACGTCCATCTACTCCTTTCCTGACCCACTCTGTCCACCCCCCAGCTGCAGGTCCCCACCACTGCCAGCAGTCTTCCCTCACCAACCCTGGCACCTAGCATGCTCTGTTCATGTGTTGAATTCCACAGAATGAAGGCAGGTCCTTCCTGTCCTTTTCCTTGATCTTTTCTGCGCATGGTCATCCGTGCAGTTACCATCCCAAGTGTGTCTTTCCTTTCTCCCTTTCTTACTGTCAGCCGTGAAACTGATTACGAATCCTTGAGTGTGGGAAGGGGCATCAGGTGCTACTGCCAGAGAGGTCCCAGGGTGCCCCGTTTGGAATTGAAATCCCGAACTAGGAGCTCAGCACACTTGCTCTCTCTCTGCCCAGAAGGGGCCTGGCTAGTTAAAAACCCACTAGTTCTTTGCTGGTTCACAAAGAGCATTCGCGGCCTCTCACTGTTCCGTGAGCTGTGAAACTGCATCCCTACATTCTAAGCCAGGAAAAGAAGGCTCCTGTGACTACCAGTGGCACTCAGCTCAGACTCTGCCTAACTCCATTTCAGGAGTGGGGAGGTATGTGGTGTCCCCCACCTACCCCAGGACCCAAGTCCTAAGCAGACCGTAACTCGTGCAGATGGGCTTTCCCTGAGCTGAACCCCCAGCAGGGACAGGACCAGGGCCGCCTCAGGGCCTTCCTTCCTGAATGGGAAAATCTCAAATCTTGATAGAAATTCCAGTTTGGGGCTGGCTCTGTAGCCGGATGATCAAGGCAGTTGGCTCCCACATGGACAATCCATGGTTCAAGTACTGGACCTAACAGCTCAAGAAACACCCAAGGCATGTGTGCCTAAGATGTCGAAGGGAAGGGAGAAAAGAGTTGTCTCTCAAACTCAGTGGAGAAGAACGGATGCGGATGACCGTTCACATGGGGGCTGCTGCCACACCCAGTGAAAGTGGAGTGGAGGGGAGTGAGTGGAAGTGGCAGTGGATTTAGAAAAGACAAAAACACATACACAAGTAGAGAAAAGTGGGGGTTGGGCAGGGGGGGGTCCCTGATAGAGAACAGTGAGGCACTGCGTTCTCAGGTTTATTCTTTCCAAAGCAAAGGCTGGTATTTTCTGTCATCAACTAACTGCAGCTTCTGTGGAGTCTCTTGTGTCTCGTGGTTCTGAACACAGCTTCCTTCAGCTACACTGCCCGTAGTGCAGATCCCATCTCTATTAGAGCTTTCACTTGCCCCGCAACGTCACCAAGACTGGGTCTGCTTATAGTCTAGCGAGACCTTACCTGCTTTTATGCCTAGATAGAGCCGCTCCCAAATCTCCCCCCTTTTCTTTCTCTAATTTGAGCTGCCAGATCGTCTGTCATTTTTTCTGGAGGGTTTTGTCTCAAACATTCTTTAATTACTTTATTCTTTTCTTTTTTAAGTCTGTTCTAATTCCTCTTTATGACTTTGCCACCCCTAGCTTTTTAAATTTATTATTATTTATACATTAAATCACTATACATCATTTAGATTGTAAAGACACTTTACCCAGCATGATATACACCTCAGTAAATCCCAGTTGAGAATATTATACACATCCTCCTCAACAAATAATAAGCCATATCTGTGTCCCACAAGTGTTTTACCTCTCTATTTTTTCTCCAAATTTCCTTTCCTACAGTCATCCCCTCACACACTCTCTTTCCACTTTGTCTCTAGTTTCCATAATAATTTTTAATACTTTTATGTCCTCCAGTCTTTCAATCTCTACCGTAGAGTGCAGACACTCAGTATATGTTAAGTAGAGACATACAATGTCTCTTTTTCATAGCCTGACTTGCTTCACTCAGCAACAGATCTTCCATATTCGTCCACTTTCTATCAGATTCCAGGGCCTCGTTGTTTTTTATGGCTGAGTTGTATTAAATGGAGTATATGTGCTACACTTTTTAATTTTTTAATTAATTTTAATTATTATTTATACATTTAACCACTGTAGTTCATTTAGATTGTAAAGAGACTTTTCCCAGCATGATATACACCTTAGTCCAGCCCAGTTGAGAATACTATACACATCCTCTTCAACAAATAATAAACCATATCTGTGTTCCCCCAAATGTCTTACTTCTATTTTTTTCCCCAAATTTCTTTTCCTATGCTCTTCCCCTCCCACACTCTTTACACTTTGTCTCCAGTGTCCATAACAATGTTTAATGCTTGTATGTCCTCCAGTCTTTCAATCTCTACCATAGAGTGCAGACAGTCCGTGTATGTTAAGTGGAGGCATACAATGTCAAGAGAGACAAGTCTCTGTCGTGAGGAGCTGTCCTGTGCAAAGTAGGATGTTTAACAGCATCCCTGCATTTTATCCACTAGATGCCAGTAGCATCTCCTTGTCCAATAGTGATAATCACAAATGTCTGTGGCCATTACCAAATGCCCCTTAGAGGACAAATTGCTCCCAGATAAGAACCACTAGGCGAGCTGCTGTGTGGTGGGCCTTCTCCATTCCTTCAATATGTATGAACTGAACCTCAACTATTTTCATAGCACCTGATTCACTGATCTGAAACTGAGCTACAAAATAGGACTTTTTAGATCTAGCTTCAGTAGTGCAAACAGGAGCATACTGGTCTGTGGGGCTAGAAGCCCCATGATGATTGCAGTTCGAGTCCCCAGTCCAGGAGGCCTAAACACATGCCAGGCACAAGTGCACCTGCCCAGGATTATGGCAGGCTAGAAGACTGGAGGAAGGGGATCACAGCATGCCAAAGCCCTGTAGAGGATGCTTCTCTCTCTCTTCCCCTTACACATGAACACACACTCATGCTCACATGAATAAAAAAAGTTATTTAAAAAATATTTGCCTCGTTAGTTATGAGCCCCTGCTCAATATTATTATTATATGAAAATAAATTCATATTTAATAAAGGTCTATTGTTATAAAATCCAAACTGTGCAGAAGGCCGAGTTTCTGGTCTTTCAGGAACAGAGCTTGAATGATAATAGTTTAGGGGCTCTCTCTTCTAATGCCGTGATTACATCAGACAGTAACAGATTCTCGAGTCTTTGATGTTGAAGACTGATGAGATGAAGAAGGAAAACATCTGTGGGAGGCATCTGAATAATTTGTTTGAATGTGTTATTTTCACAAATGAACATTTATTGGGAAAGAGAAATGTAAATATAATTCACTATTTTAGTAAAGCCTATTCCTTATCATACTAAAAAAAAAATCTATAAGTATACTAAGAACTGTGACAAGATATTTTCAGCACTAAATTTTCACCCCAGATTCTAAATCCCAGTTGAGAATATTATACACATCCTCCTCAACAAATAATAAGCCATATCTGTGTCCCACAAGTGTTTTACCTCTCTATTTTTTCTCCAAATTTCCTTTCCTACAGTCATCCCCTCACACACTCTCTTTCCACTTTGTCTCTAGTTTCCATAATAATTTTTAATACTTTTATGTCCTCCAGTCTTTCAATCTCTACCGTAGAGTGCAGACACTCAGTATATGTTAAGTAGAGACATACAATGTCTCTTTTTCATAGCCTGACTTGCTTCACTCAGCAACAGATCTTCCATATTCGTCCACTTTCTATCAGATTCCAGGGCCTCGTTGTTTTTTATGGCTGAGTTGTATTAAATGGAGTATATGTGCTACACTTTTTAATTTTTTAATTAATTTTAATTATTATTTATACATTTAACCACTGTAGTTCATTTAGATTGTAAAGA